CCTTGGTGGTAAGCGTTGCCCTTAAGTCCTCTTTTGTTAAATGCAAATATCCTTTGGGAAATGAGTGAGAAGATGAAGTCCTGGACCCAATAGTGTGATAAATTTGATAGACTGTAAGTGATACAGGCCCCACGCAGGACAACTTGGAGGGGCCATCAGATTTAGAGCTCCTGTGGGACTGGCTGAGACCTTTTTTAGGTCTACACTGCTGCCTGTCTCCTCCCTCTGCCTGACCCTGCTTTCTTAACCCCTTTCCACAGGTGTTGATCCTAGGAACACTCCTGAATGAATACCCTGCATGCTAATCTCCATTTCAGGGGTCACTTCCTGGGGAACCTAACCTGTAACAATGATGGTGGTGATTCTGATGGTGGTGATGCTGCTGGTGCTGCTGGTGCTGGTGATGTTGATGGTGATGATGGTGAGTGTTTTAGTGTTCAGGCTGCCATAACAAAATACCACAGACTGCATGGCTTACACAGCACAGCAGAAATTCATTTTCTCAATTCTGGATGCTTGAAAGTCCAAGATCCATGTTCTGGCAGGTTTGATTTCTGGTGAGGGTCCACTTCCTGGCATGTAGATGGTTGCTTGGGCTTCGCATGGCTTTGAATGAGAGCTGAGAGACCTCTTCCTGTAAAACCACCAGCCTTATCAGATTAGGACCCTACTTTTATGACCTTATTTAACCATAATTACCTCCTAAAGACCTTGTCTCCAAATATAGACACATTGGGGGGTTAGCACTTCAATATATGAGTCTTGGGGAAACACAATTCAGTTCACAGCAATGATTGATGACAACAATGACAATCAAAGTGGTAGTGATAATGACGATGGTGATGATGATGGTGGTGATGATGATGGTGGTGATGCTGATGGTGATGATGATATTGATGGTGTTGATGGTGGTGGTGGTGATGGCAATGATAGTGGTGGTGGTGATGATGGTGTGGTGATGCAGGTGGTGGTGATGATGGTGTGGTGATGCTGCTGGTGATGATGATGGTGTGGTGATGCAGGTGGTGATGATGATGGTGTGGTGATGCTGCTGGTGATGATGGCTAACATTTATTGAGCACTACTACATGCCTGGCACTCTGCTTTTTTCACTTTATATGGAATAATTTATTTAACCCTCACAAACATCCTGTGGCTTAGGAACTAGTATTTTCCTGATTTTTCAGAGGGGGAAACTGAGGTTCAGAGAAGTAAAGTACCTGTCTAAGGTCACACGGAGAGATTGTGGCAGAGCTGGGACCAGAACTTGAGCTCTCAAGTCTTTGCCTGCAGTTGTTCCCCAATGTCCTGTGTTCCTGCTCAAAGAGGCCAGTGACACAGGCTGCACAGTGGGGTAGTGTTTAAGTAGAGCGGGTGTTCAGCCCAGTTTCCCCACTGGGGCTTCCTTTGACCCATTGGTCTGAGGCCCCTAGTAAGGATGGGAGGTCCCTGAAAACTCCTTGGCACCAGCAGCTCCAGGGTAATAAGGGTTGTTCTTATCCAGGGGGCCTTTTGGAGTTATTCTGGGAGTTGGGTTTCTCTGAGGTGAGGCCAGGGGCTGGAGTGTCTAACATGCCATTTCCAAAGATAGCTGGTGGTGGTGGTGGTAGTATTCAGACTGGACCTGGGCAGTAGCTGTGCCCTGAGGTTGACCAAGCGCTGTGGGGATAGCTTGTCTGTCAAGCCATGACTGACAGAAGTCACGTCTCCTATGTGGATGCAGCCAGGCCATGGGTTTGCATAATTTTGGAGTCTTTAGTGTGAGGGTTGGTTTCATGCCAAAACACCATAGGTTGGAAGCCTTGAGTTATTGTATTTTAAGAATAGTAATGGGAGTAGTAGTAACAATAGTACTAGTAGCAATAGTACTATTAGTAACAATAGTTACTATTAGTAATGGTAACAGTAATACCAGCACTAACAGTAATAGTGATAGCAGCAGTAGAAATGATAACAGAGTAGCAGGAAGCACAGCACTTAGGCTCTGGATCAGAAAGCCCTGGGCTAAAATCCTGCCTCTACCACTTTCCAACTGGGTGGAAATTGCTTTACCTTTAAGTTTCTTCATCTGTAAAATGGGATATTCATAGTATTTTAGGGTTTCTATGAAGAGTAAATGAGCTAATCTATGTAAAACACCCAGCAACAGTGCCTCATATGTAGTCAGGGCTGAAGTGTTACTCATAACAACAACTGCCATAACAATAATTAACTCTTTTTATGTGCCATATGCTTTACATGTATTATCTCATTTAATCCTCATGTGCACCTGACTAGGTGGATACTATTACTGTTCCCATTTTGCAGATGAATAAACTGAGGCTTGGGGAGGTCGAGTCTCTTGTTCAAGGTCACACAGTGGTAGCCAGCATTTGATCCAACACTCCCAGCTCACTCTGTTCTGCCCTGCTGCTGCCTGCCTGCATGGAGATGGTCTATCTGGGGAGGTAGCCTTTTGAGGGGTTGGCTGATGTCATCTTGGAGGGTGGGGAAAGCAAGCGGACAGGCCATAAGGAGCCATTGGTGAGTGATGTGCCCCGCACCCATCTTCTGGTTGGGACTGGAGCTCATCCGTAGGGGCCCCCTTACTCTACCTCAGTGGGACCTAGAAGTCTTCTGTCCTGTCATGAGGATGGACAGAGTCGTCTGCACTTTTAAGTTCAAGGGGCCTAAAATCATCCAGAAGCGCCCCTTGGTTGCTTGGCTTCTTAAGAAAACTCATCATAGAGACAGGTAGTTTTTACAGGACAACACTTAGTGTGAGGTTCTAAAACTGTGCATTTTGATGTGGTCCCAAGTAGCCCGAATCCAGGTATTAACAAGTTGAGAAAGGTAAATTTAGAGATGTGGTCATAGCTGTGTTGTGGTGCTTTGAAGGGGGTAGGAGGCAGGCAGGGAACCTCAGCTGGAGCTCTCATCTACCACTTCCTAGCTGTGTGCCTGGGGCAAGTCATTTCATCTCTGAGCCTCTGTTTCCCCATCTGTCCATCCATCCATCTGTCCATCTATCTATCTGTCTATCCATCCATTCTCTCTCTACTCTTCTATGTGTCCATCCACCCACAAACCCACCCAGCCCATCAGGTGATCCCAGTGCCCAGGCCCCACCTCCAGGGCATTGGATTTATTTAGGCATCAGGACTTAATTGGGCTCCTGGATGACTGTGATGTGCAGCCAGGGTCGGGGTGAGGGCCACAGTGCTTGGCAGCAAGTTGCCCAAATGAGTGCATCGGGCTCATCCTGTGTTGGTTGACCTTTGTCATGTGAATGTTCAAGGCATGGGTGACCTTGGATGTGTGGTTAGAATCCTTGGTGTGTTCTGCCAGGAGGGAACAAGGCAGAAGCATGGGCTTTGGGTCACTCAGCCCAAGCCAGCTGGCTTCAATCAGTTGGTCTCTTGAGTCAGTGTCCTTTTTGAAATAATTTCCAGTTCATAGGGTTGTCATGAGAATTAACAGGATTGCAAATGTTAGGGCCTGCCTTGGAGTGAGGGTGCTCGATAGACCATTTTAACTTCTCTGTCAACATTCCCCATGGAAAGGCTTACTTAGAGCTGCCAAGACCCACTTGAAGACTGTGAAAAATCCCTAGACTTGAGCTCATTGAAGGGCACACAATGCCCTCGTGTGGCTAAAACTAGATTTGTCTGGGCAAAGGGGTGTCTTTACTGGAAATTAAATATTCATTTCTTTTAGCTACACAACCATGTGTTTTGAGGTTTAGGCTGTTTTGGTGATATTACTTCAACTGTTTATGAGCCCATCTGATGTGCAGCATTCAGTTTCAACTCTCAGAGGAGGTTAACTGGGACAGAAATGTCTCATTTTAAAAATCACAAGGAAAAGTGGTGGGGAATTGCGGTGTTGCCCCATGTAATAAAGAAGGGAGACAAACTCAGCCTAGGACTGTGAATTAAATAGAACATGCCACACAGGACAATTTTACATGGTTCCACCCAGGGTGCTAATTTGAGATTCTTATAAAGGCCCTGGTCTGTGGCCTTTTCCACAGACTATGGAGGGAACAGCCTTTGAAGTTCTGTGCCCACAGCAGAACTCAGAGAATTTTTTGTTTTTAACAAAGGGTGTATTTTAAGAGAAAAGGCAGCCAGGCTATGTCTGAACAAAAAAACTATCATCAGAAAAAACAAACACATCTTACTTTTGAAGCTGAAGATTTGAGACTATAGTAGTCGATATTTCAATATCATGTTTTCACTTGGAAATTGGGCCTCCTTCATCGAGATCCGCATAACTGTGAGTAGCTCAGAATGGGGGGAAGTCACGGTAGGAGGGACAGTGATTAGAATGTCTGTTATCCATGCCTGAGCCAGGGATGAATGATTTTTAAACAACTTTAGGTGCACTGTACATGTACAGACAGTTCAGAATGAACCAGAGATATCACGCCTGTGCAGAAGAGAGAATTGATGGATATTTCTTCCCTCTGGCTTCGCTCATTGACCACCACAGAAAACCCACAAGCATCTCAAAAGTCAGAGGCACTGGAATCATCTGGCCAGACGGAAGTCAGAAGCCTGGCCTAGAAACATGCCTTTTAAGCTCATCCCCAGGTGCTCTTTACATATTTGGTGCACAGCTTTAGGGTGTTGTCTCAGCCAATGTTTCTCAGATTTCAGGATTTTACAAACCAGTGAAATTACAAAAGGAATCTTCAAGACTCACTTTGAATTGTCAATCTATTACATTGCACAGAGCAATGAAAAGCAACGACTGTCTCCTTTCACTCTTGTTTCATAAAGCATTCTGTGCACTCGCTTGTACATGGCCTTTATTGTCCAGTTTGCTCAGAAGGTGCGTCTGTCATCATGGTCTAGCTGTTGGGAGCCCCAAAGAGTTTTGGGTAGCACTTTGGGTGAGTGAGGGATCCAAGAGACAAGGCTTACTATAGAAAACCATTGTCTTACATTCTTTTATTTATTATTATATATATATATATATGCAGATCTGTTTTACGTACAATAACTATTTCTACCAAATAATCAGACCAAGGCATTTTATTGGTAATCTTCCCCAAAATCACTCCATGTAAAATTAGATATTTATGCATTTCATGGGCTATCAAAACTTGAGACTTCATTATCAATTTCCGTTCTGAGATCATATACACAATCAAAATATACATTAACTAGATTAAGGCGATAAAAGTGAGCTGAAAGAAACCACAGGATTCAGAACAATTAAACTTTGTATTTTGCTTGCATTAGAGTCACAATGTGAATAGCAAATACTGTGCGTATCTTGTAGCTCTTCTATGCAGTGCGAGGGGCTTCTGAACATCTAAGGTGACTGCGTGACGGATGGGCCAAAAGATGATGTGACCTGCTGGAGGCTTCATCATAGGCTCACTTCTCTGCCTCTCCTTTCTTAGGTTCTTGTTTCAGTTTGTAATCAGCCAGGGCGGCCTTGATTGCATCTTCAGCCAGCACTAGAAGTAATGGAAGGAAAGAGAGTCTAAGTTTCTAGACTCTGAAGAAATGGTCTTAGGAATAGGATCTTTGAGAGCTAGAGGTCAATGGTGCTGGGAGAGGCTTTAAGACTGAGCCAGGGTGCTGGTGTGAGGAGCAAGCTTGGAAAGTCAGCCAGCTGCTTCCTGAACTGGATTACTCTTGTGGGTGGCTGTGGAGACACAGACTATTTAGATCTAAAAACCTGGGATTCTAGGCTAGTTCCTTAACCTCTTGGAATCCACTTTCTCTTCTGTAAAACTGGGATAATCATGCTTTCCTTGCTGGGATAGTGTGGGGACTCACAGAAAATGTCTGACATGTAATAGGGACACAACAAACATTAGTTCACTCCTACTCCCCTGAAAATCTGGAATAAACGTAGATGCTAGTTAAGCTAGCTGGCATAACTTAGGTCACGTCAACCTGTTGATGGGATGGCATCTGCCACATCACCCTCTGGTGATCCCAAGTTTGAAAAGTTTTATTTGGAGTTGATATTAAAGGTGAGGCTATGGAGGAAAATAAAAATAGAGAGAGCTAGAATGACAGCAGAAAGCATGCAAACAGCACAGAGAACATTAGCTCAAGGTTTCAGTACCTAAAAAGGCCTCATGAAAAGGCTGGGGTTTTTCTGAAACCGTGAAAATGTTTATAAGCTATGACCTTTCTTCATGGGTACATAAAATTCCAGCTCAAGTGGAAAGAACTCAGGTCTTAGCAGCTTCCTGAAGACTCCGTTAGCATGTCCCTAAACCAGCACCCGGTTCTTTTCCTGTGAGCCTTACTCTGGCAAGAGGCCTGGCTCTCTGTTGATTTTTAACTAATTTGGTTATTAGTAAACTTCCATCAATATGTTAAGGCTACTGTTTCTCATTCCCTGAGAAGGTTAAGAGAGGATGGAAAAAGCATTAGATTAAATAGAGACTAAACTGGAAAGCCAAGTATAAGTCTTAGGGCATCTGGGCTTTCTCTTAGGATGGTGTAGAGGGGGATATTGTACAACCAGGCTTAGTCATGTACAACCAGGCTTAGTCATTGCATATAGTCAGATGCAGATCCCCAGAGCAACAGCATCTAGACAGGAGGCAATGAAATACACAATGAACAGGATTATGGTGAGAGCCAAGTTTTCTCCTCTGCTACAGTGTGGTGGGAACGCATAGATTTTGGAATCAAAGACTGGGGCTTAAATTCTGGCTCTCCCACTTCTGAGCTGCGTGGGCCTTTGCCTGAGTACCAGCTTCCTCATCTGTAAGAGGGCAGTAACGACACCTACTGTGGACTCAAGGATGTTTCTGAGGTTTAGAAATGATGGCCATCAGGTGCTCAGTATGCCACCTGTGCACACCACCTCCTGGCATGACCCTTGTAGAGATGGCTATGAGACCACGGGGGCTTTAACCCTCTGAAGGTTACAAGGAGAGACTCCACAAGCTCAGCCCTCCCAGAGTTATAAAGACAGACCCATGACCTCTAGTTCTCTGAGGGTGATGAAGAGGGACTTCATGATCAAAAAGGACTCTGTCATTACTCTGTCACAAATGCAAATTGAAATCACTGCCAAGTGTCCCAGCTGATTGGCATTTTGGAGAGCAGAGACTTACTGGAGCAGTGCAGTTTCACAGGAGGGAGGCAGAGCTCTTTGGCAATATCTGTATTTTTGATGGTCAAGGCTTCCTCCACCTGAGAGGCATAAACAAAAGACGAGTACCTTTAGCAAAGCTGTGTCTTGCAAGGGCCAGACGATGAAAAAGGAAGGACAAAGAGGCCCCCAGGACAGGTCAGGGGGGATGATCTCTGTATAAAAACTCAAAACAAAGGGCTAAGGGCCTTCTTAGGACTCCTACTTGCATGTCAAAGTTGCAGCTGGGATTCTCAAGTATGAGGTATACACACTTATGCTGCTTGGCCGGGGCAAGCAAGGATGGCCAAGGCATTTCTATAAGCCAGGAGCAGAAGCTGTGAGAAGTCTCTTAGGGATCTGCTTGAGGGCAGCAACAGGAGCCTTTTTTTAGGGAAAAAAAAAAAAAGCAGTGATTTCCTATGCTGGCTTTGTGAGTATCAGCTTCTCTGGTGTCCTTATA